AAAGATTATTTTGGGTAAAGTGATTGCAACGGTCATCATTCCCAATGCCATTGAAGAGACAACACCTCATCGTTGCTTCCTTTGGCGATATCTCACAGTGGTTGCACAGTTGACACGTTACCTCCAATATCTGCTGGTACTCTATCCACTATCTGGCTTCAGGCCTTCCTCCCCTGAGTCACCGACCTCTGAGTGCCATTCCGATGCCCGTATTGGGAACCAGCCATCCATAATCCTGCACATGTCTCACTCACTCCAACCCGTAACTTGCTGATCAGCTGATATTGGACGTCTGTGAAAAAGAGCTTCATAGCTCATCAGATTTCTCCTGCAGTCTAAATATAGATTTAGATTCTGAACCTCCCCTCTGTGTAAACAACTACAATACTTTCTGGCCAATACTTTTATAAACGTTAAAATCTCTCACAATATTCACCAATTAAAAGCCTAAAATCCTGCACATTGCAGCTATACTTAAAATCCAGATGCTCTGTCGAAGTTACTTGGTTATAATCGAGCTCTCTGAACTGCACAATGCCACACAATACACCTACCTCGCTAATATCACAAAACTAAAGATGACTCCTCCACCCTTTCAAACCGATTCACTATCATCGTTGTAAAAACAAAAAAGTGATGTCCTGCTCAAATGTGCATTGAGGAAATGCTGCCCTCATGTGTAAAGTGCTGAGTCAGTGATGGAAATTCCGTGTTCCTGTGGTAGTCTATCCGCAGGACAAACCGCGGTTGACTTTCCCACAAGTTGGTTTTCATTTTATCGACCCCAGAAGGATGATGGACTGAATCAACCCCCGACAAGGGAATTGAACTTGCAAGTTTCCAATGGTGAGAGGCTCTCCCGCTGAACCTGCTATCACCATAATCCTGAGTGTTAAGGACAACACACTCCTTATTTATCAGTGCTGACAATTATGCAATCAGGAGCCCAGCAGCACTATTAAGGCTGGTGTCGTAAAAGTGGGCAGTATAAAGCAAGATTAAAACAAATTGAACCGCAGGACGCCTCTGCAGTGGAGAAACTCCGGCCAGAGGTGAAGCAAGATGGCAAAAGTTGCTCTACCCTCTGAATGCACGACGAAATAGACGGTGCCCGTGGGCCAGTAATCAGCCACGGCAGTGGGAGGGGCTTACGTGACCCACAGCAACAGGTCATTGGTTTGGTTCCAACACAAACACAAAGGGGGTTGGGTACGGAAGCCTTATACAGTAGTCATGCATGTGGATTGTGTGGTTGTGAGGTGTCTGTGTTTGAGTGGATGGTGGTGTGTACGTTGTTGGAAATACAAAATGTGGCGTCACTAGGGGGGTGCGGACCGCACCGGGTGACACCATGAGCGGGGGTGACGCCAAAATTACTGTCTATACAATTTTTGCGCAGTGTTTCAGCAGGAATGTATTATTTTTCATTTTAAAAAATATCCCCGTAGTTATAACAGCAAAAACATGTTTCGTAAGCCCAGCTTACATGTACTGTGCCAATTTACCTACAACGCTAAAACTCTATGCAAATTTACTTTTTGCACCTTCTAATGCGCTCTGGTCAAAGCAGTCATTGTTACCCAATTACAATGACGTTTCGAGTCACATGGTTTCGTCTGCACGCGCTACAAGTAGGCGCTGTTGTATTCGTTGCTGCTCGTGTTTTTATCGTCGCTGATTTTGTCAAATTTGTTGGTGTTTTAGCTACAATATTGTGGTAATTATTATGTGTGAACCTATATCAAAAACTTTTTTGAGAATGAAGTAGTAATTAAAGGAAAAGGAGAAAAATCTAAAAAGGCTTCCGCTCCGTTACTAATAATGTTGTGGGGGTGACACCATAAGTTACCGCACTGGGTGACGCCACTGGTCACAAGCACTCCATTATATCACAAGCCCCACGAGCAAACACTCCTCTACCACAACACTCCGTCACGATCCCCAACATTTCTCTCCAAAAACACAAACGTCGTTGCGTTTTTGTTGTCCACACGACTCTTAGACCACCCGCATTATAGAGACACGATGTGCCGCACATTTACAACACATTACTACTCTTCAAAATAACATAACATTTACAACAACAATGGACTTCTTCAAACTCCCAATAGTACTTACACCATCCACTTAACACAGACAGATACCTGTTTAAAACGTAATATGCTTACGCAAACAATATCCATGAAAGGTTTTTTTTGCTGGGTTAGATCGCGTAAATATAAATGCGTCATTAAACTCGCTACCACCCGACACAACCAATTAGTAAGGTTTGTCACGTAAACAGAACATGCCAATTTGTTACTAGTTCAGCACACTGGTATGTTGGAGAGTCAACCCACAACGTTTACAATTCGAGTACGACGTTTCGCCGGTAACCTCAAAATCAGACAATACATATCACGCTATTTTAAGACCCGAGACAATGACTGTGAGTCTTCTAAATACCTCCCCTCAGCCTCCAGACGCCCACTCACTGCCCCCCTCAGACACAATCCACATTCATGACTACGCGACTTCCTAGCTCAAGCCCCCATTTGTGTTTGCGTTGGAACCAAACCATTGACCTGCTTCTGTGGATCACGCGAGATTCTCCCACTGCCGTGGCTGATAACTCGCCCACGGGCACCATCTACTTCGCCGTACATTCAGAGCGTCTCAGTTCCTCACGAAGGACAGATAAGCTTCGCGTTCGGCCACTGTCAGAAACGCCGGCGTTTCCCACTGTCAGAGGCGTCTCCCAGTGCAATTTTCATCTCGTTTCTCCACCGCGTCTTAATGCGTTTTCTCGCTATCGAGTAGCTATGGAAGACTTGCGTAGGCTATGGGAGGGACACGGAACGAAGCTTTTCCCAGAACCCCAAGGTTTCCGAAACTTTGAATGCGAGTGTCCAGTGATTCTCATGCGCCGCACAGAAGAACCACGTAGATTTAATCCGCTGCTAGCATGCCGCTCTGCAATTGTGTAATCCTTGCTCTTGCAGTGGGTGGTATGGATCGCCGTGTCAACAGAAATCTCTCGGCACCCTACCAGAGCTCAGCTCCCTTGCTGCATGATGATCATGGGTTATGGTAAGAGCAGCGCTTGGAGGTCACGTGTCGGCTGTAAAAAAACATTGTGGGATCGAGCTGCAGGAAACGATGTTGCGATGTGTATTGTCGCGGTGGCCTGATGTGGGGGCACCAGGGTGATGAGATGTTAACTACCTTGCCTGGTATACAGCGGGTCGAGGGTTCGATCCCGACCCTGCTGCATACATTTTTGGAGTTTGCACGTTCTCCCCGTGGTCCTCCGTTTTTTCCTCCACATTTCGAATCGAGATGCGTTCAAAGTATGTTCCTGCTATAAATTTCCGCACGATAAGCCACTTTGTTGAGCTATCATTTGTGGCCAGATCGCTTCTGAAAAGAAGCTTATATCGCTCAGTGGGCCTTACCTGGTGAAATTAACATAGTAAAACAGTATAATCTTCAATGGCAACGGGCATAATGACCTTTGCAAAAATGCTAGTCAAATATTGACATTTAGTCCTGTGCGCTGCATTAAACGTGAATGCTCAGTGCACACTGCTCTCTAATAATTGCATATTTGCGTCTTGCAGGAGCATAGAGATATTCACGGCGCTGGCCACAAGCAAACCCCACAAAAGCTTTGGGCTCCTATCTGCTCAATGGGCCCGGATTCATGAAAAAAAATAGGTTTATCAAAAATCATCTGAAATCGAAATAAACATATCAGGCTAATTAACCAATTAATCTCTCTCACTACTATCTTATCTGCATCTTCTTCTCATTTCAATACATTTCTATTTTGTACACATTCCACTGGTTTATCTCGTCTATATATATTGTCACCTCAATGGGATGTTATACATTCAATGAGGGGAGCTAACAAATAACCCCCAATAAAAGCTGCTTTAGGGCCCTACAATGCGCCACACCAGCTCTGTCTACACAGCTGTGTAGCCAGGAGCCTTATTGCCGAGTTGATGAGGAATTTTCTTGAGGAATGTATGCCCGAGCTCTTCCTCAAGAAGGCCAAAGAATGATTGCATTTGTAATTTAATGATTAGTTAGGCACCGGTGCTTCTTACATAGGCGAGCCTCGTCAAGTCTACAACACTCAGCGTGGTCTTGCTAGGGGACATTAAGCGCAATGATTATTTCGGGGCTTTTTGCACCGTCCTGCAAATGATTTGCGAGCATCTGTCTTGGCATCGTCACCAAGATGTCGTAGAAAATGATATTCGAATATAAATATGTTCCTACCCAGTTTGAGTTCATCTGTGTGTTTAATCCAAGTATTTACTGGACATCTGTGAAAAATAGATTTATAGCTCACCGGGCTCCACCCAGTATAGCTCTATTAATAAATATTGTTGTAGTCGGAGTAACAGTAGTAAAGTTACTACAGAATACACATTGCGGAATACACTGTTGATGAAATGTAGATACACTGAATGGTTAATTCTGTGAATTGTAGATTAATTAGGTTTTTCTCAAATAAAATTATATGTAAAATAAAATAATATGACCACAAAATATAACACGCTGGAATGATTTAGCAATTTAGCCACCTCAAATCCCAGATGAGGATCAACCCAAGTCTTTAGCATTTACAAATGTCTTGCATAAACAATCACATTCTTTTTATTATTACGCATCTTTTCAATAATGATGACGACCGCTTGTGTTGCGATCGAATGTGGCGGGGTCGTTTTTTTTTTAAAACTATAAAGCCCATGTGGAAATTTGTTGTAAACCATAAAAAGAGCCGACATGCAAAAAACGATTTTAAATAGTTGCAGATATAATGCAAAATTTACTTTAACATATAGATCTAACAGTTATATTGTTTGGTTAGAAAAAAATGTCATAGAAATATAAAAAGCGTGACATTTGGTTTCAAAAGAGTGACACTGTAATGGAAATCTCAAGCAGTGTGTGTGATTGAAGCCGTTATTCATAACGTGAGCACATTTTGAACGAGAGGCGAATCTTACCTTGAGCGGGTTGCTCTGTTAAATGGACATCCACTCATGTCGACGTTTGGTAGGAAATGGCCTCGTTCTCTTCTTTCGACACTTAAAAGACACCCAATAGCTCCCGTGTGGGGGATGCCACCCAGAATTTATTTGAAATCTGCAAACCTCGCCCACTATGGGATTGGCTCGGTGAGTCTACATGTGCTGTCCTATGGGTGGGCCGGCTACACAGCCACTGCCCTTAGCCCGAAAGCAAACAGCTGAGGGGTTGGTTGTCTGTGACAGCATGGGGTTTGTGGGCGACAAGCTTGGCATGAGCGACAGTGTGTGGGTATCTTACATGTGCATGCGCATAGGACAGAGGTGGCACACTGCACTGCACTGCAAACCCAGGCAACCGAGATCGATTCCCACTCAACCCAACATCAGTGGCAATTATCTGAACCAGTTCTCAGCCTCCCCTTAGTTTTACTCGGCCTCAAATGAGTACCTGGTGCAGTGTGTAAACTTCGTCACTGGGGAAACAAAGGTGGCCAGGTGTAATTCTGGTCCCACCACGTCGTCGTGCACCGTGACGGTCTTCATAGGTGAGCATCGCTAACAGCATGTGCCCCATCAGCCTGTGAAGGCTACAGTGAACTTTTGCCTCGTGTGTGCTGGCAAAAACTTGCACCTAATCTGTGAAGCAAGAGGGATCTTTGCTATTTCGTGGATGAGTGCAATGGCTGGGACTGCCGGGTCAGAATGCAGGGTGCCAACTACTGCATCATCACTCCATCCAATCTGTTAATATTCTCTGGCTTAATTTACACCTACGTTTTACATTGGTTAAGGAATGAATCTTCGTAAATTATAATTCACAGCTGCCAAAAATCCACATTTAACTACATCGATGTCTGCAGCTGTGAGCTCTGCTTAATGCTTAAGCTTTCGTGGTAGCATGGTGTATAATCACAGTGGGCTGCACGCCACATCGCCTGTTCGATCTCCCCTCACTCCGTCTTACCAGCAGCAGCTGAGTGGATACACCACAGTGGAGCGATCGGCAATCTGGCGACTGAGTCATTCCATCTCCCTGGACACATGGACTCCCAGCTCGGGCGGAAGCCCCCAAACAAACCAGAACTGCTTCACTAGCACACTTTTCAAACATTACTTACTTACAGCAACCACAATTTTAAAAAATATGTTTACGAAAATACAAACAGGTTGAGTTGTCACCAGACGGAGCAACACAGACAATTCAAACGGTAGCGCGTAAGATGCACCACCATCATGAGTGTCTGGAGGATAACGATCGCCCGGGTAAGTTTAGCCGTTTCACTGTCCAGCCACAAATGGATATTCAGAGTCCCTGGTGCTAGATTCGCAGTAAACAGGGCTCGGCTCCAGCTGATCAAACCCCGCTTTAACACACACAAACATTTTCTCTGGAGCTTTCAGAAATGTAAAAAGGGGATCAGCTCCGGTTGATCAAATCCTGCATGAACAGATTGTATCTGAAAAGCTTCCAGAAATGCGTAAAGGGCTCAGCTCCTGCTGAGCAACCCCCCGTGTTGGCACATTTTCTATACGGGAATTGAACGACGCTTTACAGAGGGGCTTAACTCCTGCTGATAAAAAAACTCCGAAGTTAACACAAAGGTCGTCATGGTGGCTCTTCCTTAAAGCCTGCAAGGGGCTCGGCGCGACCACGTGTCACGCGACGCAAGTCGACGTGAGCAGGGTGGGGGAAATGGTGAGGGCCGGCACCACACGAGGCCTTGCTCGCATGGCGAACGGCTGCCCGGGGTAGCTCCCGCCTCTACCAGGCCCTCGTGCAGCCTTCCTTGATCAATCTCCACGAGCAACTCCTCTGGGGCACGTCATGCGACCCTCTGCCACACCGCCGGGCCTGGCTGTGGACTCGACGGGTTTGCCCCCAGCAGGTCTCCCTATTTTCCTCAGTGTCCTCGTCCCCCTGTATAGGAGAACAGTCCTTCCTCTGCGACCCTCCTAGGGGTACTCCTCACCCCCTCCTCCGAGTTTCAGTTTCATGCATTAGGTATAACCCTGTGAGTCATGCGGCTCTTGACTCGGGTGCAACCGCAACAAAACAAAAACATGAACAAGAAACATACCTAAAGTGACTGCACGCAACAGAAAAATCCTGGAAAAAACAGCAGAGTCTTCCAGAAAAACACCGCATTTTACCTATGTGCGCCACAGGTTCATCACACACCCGTCTGGGCAACCACTCCACAACCTCACGACCTCACGCAGGGGTTAATATTCTACCCCCCCCCCCGCTTCATTGAGTCGGAGGCGCCCATGAGATTAATTATCGATTCATGAGTATGACTATGTAGGTGGATATCTCCACACGTATATGTGCGTTTCTGTGCGTGTGAGCAGGCGAAGTTAGCGAGGTCATGGCGCTTGTTACATCTTAAGAGCCGCATGGCTCACAGGGCTATACCTAATAAATGAAAACTTGAAAAAAAAACTTTTAACTTGCTAGCCAGATAAGGCACCCCATATACGAAGCTGATGTTGTAGAAGGGCACCCCAGTTTCCTGAAGATGTCCCCGAGAGAACCATAAACAACAGCATGTGTATTCCACATCAAGCTTGCCCCTGAATAGCCAACAAAGGGGCCTCCAGACAAAGGTTCCTTTGTTCCTTGGCTTGCTTGTGTGCTTATTTGCATGGCTGCGTTGGCACTTGTGAGTAATTCCTGCAGTCACGAAAGCTACAAATTAAGATTGATGACCATGGTGTTAATCTGTGAGAGCTGTGCATCCTGGGGGGAAGGGGAGGGGTGCCTGCTCTGCACACATTAGCAGGTGAAGGGTGCAGGGTTCAGCACAGGGCATTGCCCCGTGGTATACGGCTCGCACACGTGCAATGTTGACAAACCTAAGCTGAGGCAGCGCGATCACCAAACCAGGAGCGACCAAAATGTGTTATTCCTAAAACTACATTTCCACATTATATAACCCCGTCCCAGTACTGACCCTGTTCAAGTGTCACACTAAATGAGTCCTGACCCCCCTAAGGACAAATTAATGGATACAGTGTCCTTCATAAGACAGTAACAATTATAGGGAACAAAGAAAAGTGTCAATAATTAGTTAATCCTGCAAAAACCTTAACCCGAGTCTATGATAACCTGTCGCACAATAACTAGTACAACGATATTTGTATACTTCCAGCTAACTGCATGATACTTTAAAACCTGGTAACCTATCCCACATAGATAACAAAAATGATCACTAACTTACTCACCTGATAGTTGACTGACTGATAGCACTGGTCTACAATGTTTTAGACGTCGTCTGCTTCAGCGATGAAATGTGCTGTTTATTATGGATTTTGATGTGCTGAATTCAAATATGACAATTAAAACAACGGAATGGTTACTGTTCCCAAGATATTTAAGTGTTTATATTTTACATCTATGTATATTGTGTAGTTAGAGTTGTACTCATACATTGTAAACCTAGGTATTTTTAAATACTTTATATTAAGTTCGCTTGCTTGCTTGCTTGCTTACGACCGTGCAAATCTTTCGGTCGTTTTTTAACCCACTTCCCGTGATCCAATCGAGCTGACATTTTCCACACAGACTCGTTGTGCGAGACAATTAATGTTCGTGAAAAAGAAATTCCCAAAATGTTACACTTTTTAGGCAAAAAAAATTATTTTACATATATTCAAATAGAACTCATTCATGGCTTTGGCTGAACGTCACAGTGTAAGAGCCCAGAGCGTAACCCCTCCACAGGCCGTGGCGGAGTAGCGCAGTTGGTAGCGCCCTCGCTTCCCATGCCAAAGGTCGCGGGATCGATCCCCGCGTCCTCCACAGGCGAATATATATTTTAATCCTTTATATTAAGTTCGCTTGCTTGCTTAGGAACGTGCAAATCTTTCGCTCGTTTTTAAATACTTTATATTAAGTTCGCTTGCTTGCTTGCTTGCGTGCTTGCTTGCTTGCTTACGACCGTGCAAATCTTTCGGTCGTTTTTTAACCCACTTCCCGTGATCCAATCGAGCTGACATTTTGCACACAGACTCGTTGTGCGAGACAATTTTACACTGTTTATGGAAAACAAATTAAATATTTCATTACCAATTGCTTAATACTGGCCGACAATCATCTGACCCATAGGTGGCAGCCATCTCAAGCCAGAGGACGAGAGGACTCTCACCGCCACGCATATAAAGGATTTATAGTGAAAAACTTTGTTTTTACTGGTTATACTTATTATGTGTATATGGTTGCTTTACATGATAAAATGTTACCTGTCCTGTTCATGTAACACTTTATAAATTAACAAAAGGGTTATATTAATAAAATGTATTATGAAACAAAAGGCAACAAACTATTATGTATACATAAGTACATAGTTTAGTCCTTATTCAGTGTCTACTTGGCAGTTCTTGGCCTGTTTTTTTTTTCATTAAATGGAGCATCTCTTATCACTGTCCAGCAATAGTCTGCAAGCATTGATGGGCTCCATTTGCCCTGATAGTGTTCCTCCATTGTTGCAATGTTCTGGTGAAATCGCTCGCCATGTTCGTCGCTCACTGCTCCGCAGTTCGGTGGGAAAAAATCTAGATGAGAGTGCAAAAAAGTGTATCTTTAGTGACATGTTGCAACCAAGGCTTTTGTGGAGGTTTTGCCTTGTTGTTTCCGAGAAAATTTGTTGCCACTAACTGGAAGGCCGTCTTTTCCTTGCCATGCAGTGCACTGTCAAATGCATAATCTCGAAGAAGTTCACGAATCTGAGGACCAACACAGACACCTTCCTTTATCTTAGCTTAACCGTGGGCATTTTTACACGGAGGTATTTGAAAGCTGCTTGTGCTTTGTCCATGGCTTTAACAAAGGTCTTCATCAGACCAATCTTGATGTGTAGGGGTGGTAGCAAAATCCTCCTTGATTCAACAAGTGGTGGATGCCGAATACTTTTTTTTTCAGGCTCAAATGACTGTCGGAGTGGCCAAAATATCTTCATGTAGTGGAAATCTCTCGCGCAACTATCCCATTCGCAGAGAAAATAACAGTTTTTTGTGTATCCAGTCTACAGACCAAAAAAGAGATCAACAACGTTCAAATCGCCAAAAAGCTACCATTGATGTTGGTCATAGTTTATGCACTTCAAAAGTTGTTT